GCCGGGAGCGGTCACTGCATTCCAGTTTGGGCGACAGAGCGAGACTCCAATTCAAAAAAAAAAAAAAAAAAAATATTGTATACCTTGTTTGGTAATAATTTTGGAAAAAACACAGTGTTCAATGAAAGCAAAATATTTTTTTGCTTTTTACTGTTCTGCATTTCCTAACATTTTTACAATGACCGTGCAACACTTGTATTAATAAAAAAAAAAAAAAAAGGTTTGTACAGGGGTTTGAAAATAATGGTATAATTCTGACATCCTGTGGCTATGTGAGGTCATTACAGTCTCTGCTTTAATTTCAATTTCGGAGCTGACTACTAGAGGTCAGCACTGAGCTTTATTCTGATCAAGTTTCTGGGCTGAATGTGGCAGAAATCTGGGTGGAGGTTCCACCTCTCCACTCAAAACTGAAGAAAAACAAACCCATTTATAATGCCATAAGCATGGACATACATATGCAAGCAACATTATATGTATATGTATAAACAAAATACCCTTTAATAACCTATTTGCGTCCTGAAGTAAGATAGCAAAGTTGCTAAGTGCCAGGCCCTGGAAACATGCTGCCTGAACTTCAGCTGTGTGACCTTGGCCAAGGCGCATAACCTCTCTGGGCTTTATATTTTCTTTATATCTGCAAAGTAGGATAATAATTGTTCCTTCCTCTTAGGGTTGTTATGAGAAATAAATGAAACACTACACCTTTAGTTCCAATTGTCAAGAGATAGTAATCAGAGAAATTATTATATTGTCTTTTGTCCAAAGATATTTTACATTTAAAAACCAAGATATATCTTGTTGAGCCCTGTAAGTGCTATAAGCAGAGAGGAAACTTTTGTTATTACTACTGAACTTGCAAAATAACTTTACACCCGATAGGCTATATGAAACATTTAAAGCAATCACAGTTCAATGCCCTCATTGGAATCAGGCAAAATGTGGATGTTTGTCTAATTTTTTTTTTTAAGTTTTCCTCTCACTCTCACTTGTCTTCGTTCACCTTCCCTTACCAGATTCTCATGTAAATTCCTGACTGCAAGGAGTTACTCGTCCAAGCCTTTTTTGGATGATTAACTAGGAGCCACCATTCTGAACCTATTTTTGTAGCCCATGCCCCAACCCTGCATCTCAATCTCAAAAATAATACAAGAATCCCAGGCTAATGTCATGTAAGGCCTTTGCTATTTTCCCATGATATATGTATTTGAGGGTTCCTTGGAGTGTTTAGCAGTTAAAAAAAATAAGTGTAAAGAGACCACATCTTTGTTTTGCAACTAAAGTTGAGGGAAACTAGAGCTGTGTATTTGGCTTCAGAGTTTTGTGGAGGCAGACGGTGCCATTTGGATTCTTTCATTCTATAACACCTTAGGAAATAAAGATTATTCAATGGATGCCTGAATTCTGTAAATTACTAGACTTCAATATCAGTAGTGACATTATAAGAGGTCTGACAATTAAGTTCGTGAATTCATCCTAGAAAAGTGCTACATACCTCATTGCTGGATATCACTATGGTCAGCTTTGAAGTACTCCCCTTAGGAAGCTATGCACAGATGTCAGTGCCTAGTCCACCTGTGAAAGCAATTGTGGAACTCTTTTTCTGGAATGGTCATCAGAGCTGTCATCGTATTATCTTTGATGTCCTGAATGTCATCAAAATGGCTTCCTTTCAATATTTCCTTTATCTTTGAGTAAAGAAAAAAGTTATTGGGGGCCAGATCAGGTGAGTAGGGAGGGTGTTCTAATAACAGCTATTTGTTTACTGGCTAAAAACTCCCTCACAGACAATGCTGTCTGTGTTGGTGCATTGTTGTGATTCAGGAGCTCCTTTGCAACCATTTTTGCACACACCTTTCTCATGCCAAGATTTTCAGTTAAGATTTTCTTAACTGTTTCTCTATTGATGTTTATTTGGTCTGCTATGCTTCTCACAGTCAGTCGATGATTTTGATGCACAATTTGACAAATTTTTGCAATGTGTTCATCAGTTCTGCTTGTTACTGGTTGTCCTGACTTCTCTTCATCAGTGACATTTTCCCTCCTCAGAAAAAGTTTAATCCATTTGTACATGGCTGTTTTCTTCATGGCATTATCCCCACAAACTTGGGCTAACATGTCCCTGATTTCACTTCCATTCTTGCCAAGTTTAACAAGAGATTTAATGTTTGTTCATTGCTATAATTCAAACTCCAACAGTCTTGCAACAACAGCTCTGATGGCCATTCCAGAAAAAGAGTTCCAAAATTGCTTTGACGGGTGGACTAAGCGCTGGCATTGGTGCATAGCTTCCCAAAGGGAGTACTTTGAAGGTGACCATAGTGATATCCAGCAATGAGGTATGTAGCACTTTTTCTAGGATGAATTCGCAAACTTAATTGTCAGACCTCATAGAACAAAAACTGTTGTGCGTTCCAACAATATCTGGTAGAATACCATTAATGTTCTGGTGTTATAGGTAAATGAGAACACTGAGGGTGATAGACAGTGTAACTGATGTCTCTGGCGTAGCAGTTCTAAAAAATTTTTAGGAATGATTTCTAAGTTTATACTCATGAATGTATTTGAAGTGTTCATATAATTTTGGATGCACAAGAATCCCAAATGGTTTTGAATTTCTATTCTAAAATCATCATTAATTATACTGTAACCAAAACTTAGAGATCTAGTGGGAATTTTTGAGTGTATGGATAAATCCAGTGAGCCCCATCCTGTGATTTCTTTTAAGAGGCAGTGGTTGAGAGCCTTAACTCTAAAGCTAGACCACTTATTTTCAGTCTGGCTGCACCACGAACTAGCTAAGTGCCCTTGGGCAAGTTACTTAATTTCCTTGTGCTTCAGTTTTATCATCTATAAAATATGAATGATAATATCTACCCTATAGGATTGTTGTAATGATTCAATGAATTAGTATGTGTAAAGCCCATAGAACAGTACCTAGCACATAGTAAATCCTCAATTATGGTTAGTTATTATTACTAACGCAGAGAGGAGTGTTTCTAGAACTCATAATCAAAAGAAACAAAATGACTTTAGAAGTTTTATTTATATGCTAATTACTAGCTTCTTATACCTATAAATTAAAAATCTCATGTCTATTCAGGATTTTGGAGTATTCCTTGAATGATGGTCCCTTGAGTGTCTTAGTCCTCAGATTCCAAGGTAGTCTGTCTTGGAATCTTCTTGTGAAATACCTGCTGGGAGGGCAACTCCTTCAGGTCCTCTCCCACTGTGACAGCTTTTCTGTCCTCCCAATAAATCCTGCTTTCAAAAAAAAAAAGGAATACCTGCTGGGGTCACTCATGGCGCTATGCACCAGTAGGTAGAGAAGACTAGGAGCCCATCATTTGTATCAGTATTTCCATCAGATCACCTGAAATTCTACAATTAGGAATTAATTCTTTTGGATAGTCATTGTGTTTTCTAGAGACCTTGTTAAGGTGCAAACAGCTTTTGGAGGGATAACACAAGACATGCATTAGTGGAATGTATCCAGGACAAGTATGGGCTTTGTTGGAACCAGATAACCTTGGGTTTAGATTCTGACTCCACCACGTACTAGAAACAGACTGTCTGGGTTCAAATTCTGACCCTACTGACTAGTAGCTGTGTAACTTTGGGTAAGTTACTTTAACATCTCTGGATGTCTGGAAATTCAAATAGTATCTTTCTCGTGGGGTCACTGTGAAGACTGCAGGATACAGGGTTTCCAAAAGTGCCGGTTATATCATCAGCATTCAATAAACATTATTATTGCCAACTTTATCTCGGTCTTGGCACCCTCATTTGCAAAATGGGAGGAGTAATATCTATCTGGATGGTTGTTATGAATATAAAATAAGATAATGAACATATACCTACCATACTAAAATAAAAAGACATAGATAATAACGAGTGCTGACAAGGATGTGGAGAAACAAGAACTCTCATATATTGTCACTGAGAATGTAAAATGGTACACATACTTTGGAAAACAGTTTTCTAGTTCTAAAAAATAGTTAAACATAGTGTTATCATATGATCCAGCAATTTCCAAAAGAAACGAAAATAATATGTCCATATAAAAACATTTACACAAAGTTAACAGAAGTACTATTCATAACAGCCAAAAAGTGGAAACAACCCAAATGTTCATCTACTGATAAAAAGATAAACATGATGTGGTATACCTAGTTAAGTGAAATACTATTTGCCCATAAAAAGGAACAAAGTGCTGATACACGATAGAACATGCATGAACCTTGAAAACATTACGCTAAAAAAGAAGGCGGTTTCAAAAGATCACATATTGTATGATTTCATTTATATGGAATGTCTAGAATAAGAAAATTCTTCGAGACTGAAAGTAGATTAGTGGCTGCCGGGGCTGAGGAGGTGGCGGTGGGGAGTGACTTTTAAACAAATACAGAATTTCTTTGTGGAAATAATGCAAATGGTCTGGAATTGTAAAGTGATGATGGTTGCACAACCTTGTTAATGTACTAAAAAGTGCACCTAAATTGTACACTTTAAAAGGATGAATATTATGATAGGTGAATTATATCTCAATAAAGCTGTTATAAAAAATGTCTGCCGCAGGGCTCAGTGGCTCAGCCTGTAATCCCGCACCTTTGGGAGGCTGAGGTGAGTGGATTGCCTGAGCCCGTGGGTTCGAGACCCGCCTGGGCAGCAAGACCTCATCTCTACAATAAATAAAAAAATCAGCCAGGCGTGGTAGCGCATGCCTGTAATTCCGGCTACCTGGAAGGCTGAGGCGGCAGGATCGCCGGAGCCCAGCAAGTCGAGGCTGCGGTGACTGGGAGCGGTCACTGCACTCCAGTCTGGGCGACAGAGTGAGACTCCAACTCAAAAAAAAAAAAATGTCTGCCATATAGTAACCCAAATTTGATAGAAGTCACTTTTGGTCTTTAACATCTCAGTTCTTACCTCAGGAATCCAGATCAGGTCCTGAGTGAATGGTGGACAGAGACAGAGAGGGACTGATAAGGGTAAAGGGAGAGATCTAAAATATGGAGGAAAGGGTGTCTGTGTGCAGAGATGTGGGGAGATTAGGGAGTATTGCTTGGAAGGAAAGGCAATGAAGGCACTTGAGAGGAACAGAAGAAGGAGACAAACTTCACCTACTTTGAATTTTGCAGGGAGCCAGCCTGGATCATCTTTCATATCCTGGGCTGTAATCACAGCTGATGAATGTTCTGGCATTTGGAGCTGTCCTGGAGAAAGGGCGATTTGTGGTTATTAGACAGAAGGGAAAAAGGAAAAACACAAAGGTAAAATCTGAGGGTATGGGAGTCTGACTTTGAAAGGTAGAAGAAAGCACTGGTCTGTGGAGGACGCATTTATCCAGAAGCCTCTAATTGTTTGTTAATCTCTGGGTCATTGCATTTAGGTCAACACTAACTCTGCTACAGGTAGGATCTATTTAAAGGATTAGAAGTGTCACTCTAAATCCTAATCCAGGTCTTGGTCCGGGGATACCGAAGACTGATTTAAAAAAAGGTTTACTTTCGCTCTCAATTATTTACCCCATTAATGGAATTTATCAACAGACTGGAGTCCTTGGCAGGATTATGAATGCGTAGAAGATGCACAGAAATGGACACACTGAGGTAGCTATGCCAGAGATTTGCATTTGCAGGCGATAAATTGAAGACATTTGAGCGGTGAATTACATGGTGAGTAGTTGTCAGCTCTTGTTTATAAAAAAGATCGCAGTGGGGAAAAAACACAGCCCACTTGTGAGTTCAGACTTTTAGATACTTTAGCTTTACTGTAATATGTAGTCAAAAAATTAAAGAAAGGAATGAAAGAGAGAAAGAAAGAAGTAAAGAAAGAGGGAAAGAGAGCTTTTGAGACACTTTAAATCAAGATTTGGGCTCCAAGGCTTACATATAAGCTTTCACTTAGTTCCTCTCATGATTCTTTTTATTTCTTCCTGATGTTGTCTTACACAAGCTGTTAACTAGATTCAGGCCATATCTCTGCAGAGATCAATCAATAATTCATTGAAATCTTGGGCTTGACAAGCTAGTATGAGGAACCATTTCCCTCAGAGATATTTGCCATAGTCTTTCTTTGTACATGTTTAAAGAACAGTCGTTTTCCTTGTGAAACCAGGCTTCTCCCCAGATTGTGAAAACTACCTGAAATGAAAGGATGCATCCGTATGCTTTAGTTGCTTTTCACGGAAGGTGTTCATACATGAGTTACCTAGGCAACGGCCCCTGAAAAGACTGTAGGTCAATAGTATTCTATTTCCAAAATTTCATATCTTTAAACTTTATTTTATTTACACCCAGATTTCTCATTAACCTCAGGGAAGCCTTCAGCAGACTTATTTTGAAGGCAATAGACAATGTGTTGTTTTACACAAGAGCTTTATAGTGTTGTTTTTAAAACCCATAATAGCAGGTGAAGGCTTAGGGTATCCCCCCCTTTATCCTTCCCTCCCTCCCTTGGTTTCTTCCTTCCTTCCTTCGTTTCTACCTTGTCTTCCTTTCTTTGTTTTAAAGAATAAGTTTTTTTCTGTAAAATTTTCACTTGGGGGATCAAGGCAAAATTCTACGGCGACATAGAACGTTCTGGTTCTCCAGGGAGTCCTAGCAGAGTTAGAAATATCACATAATGCATGACGTAGATACCAGGAAGAATATAAAGGGCAGGCTTTCAGCTTGGGGGTTATTTACCTTGCAGCTAACAAAGGGAAAAGAGCAACAGCAACTGAGAACAAATGGCAAGGGACATTTTCTGACATGTGGCTTGAGGAAGGATACATGTTGTAAATGTATAAACTTGGGAAATGCCAACTAAAATAAAAGCCAGCTTTTTAGAATTGGGGATGA